TTAAATCAACACACACACACTCCCTCTCTCATTCCTCATCTGCACCTCAGCAGAGTAACATGTTGCCTCGGTGAGCAGAGGCTGCCAGCTCTCCATCACCAATCAGAAGCAGATAAACCTGGACGGGAGAAGAGCTGAAGTCTCAGGCTCTTTCCTCAAACAAGCCTCTGTGGCAGCAGCAGCAGCAGCAGCAGCAGCAGCAGCAGCAGCAGCAGCAGCAGCAGCAGCAGCAGCAGCAGCAGGACTGGTTTTCACACTGTCCTGACTCAGTTTGTCACCTCCAGAGAGAAGGAGCGGCAGAAGATGCGACAGGAGCTGCAGGAGCTGGAAAGTTGGCTCTCCTGATCATCGCTCCTTCGAGGCTGAGACAAACTTTTTTTTTCTTTTAGGGCGAGGAAGAAGACAGGCAGCAGTGGACTTTCCCTCTCAGGAGGCGGTGGGTGAGAAAACATTTCTCACCCCTGCTGGATTATCTCCTTTTTTTTAAGTTTCTTTTATTTATTTTTTTAAAAGTTTTTTTTCTTTTACTGTCAGGGAAAACAGCCCCCTCCCATCCAATCACCCAGCCACTGGCAGCTCCCCATGTGGCAGGAGGCTCTGTGGACCCGCGGACGCTACCTGCTGGAGAAGAACGATGGAGGTGAGGGCGCCGAGGGGCCCGAGGGCCTGGGGGACGGGTGCCCCGGGTTCCAGGGCGAGGCGTGCCTGGAGGGCGAGAAGCCTCAGGACTGGCTGTACGAGTCGTACTACAGGATGAGCCAGCAGCATCCGCTGATCGTGTTCCTGCTGCTGATCGTCATGGGAACCTGCCTGGCGCTGCTGGCCGTGTTCTTCGCTTCAGGACTGGTGAGTGTGTGTGTAAGTGTGTGTGTATGTGTGTGTATGTGAGTCAAGGTGTTTACACAGGACTGTGTGTGTGTGGGCAGCTGAGCTCAGAAATAGGAGGTCAGGAGGAGTTTGAGCCTAATAATAAAACCAACATATCACTGCAGTCCTGGCAGGAAAGGGAATAAATAGAACTCTTCTGTCATTAAAGAGTCTATTTTTATTTTATAGGAAGCACTTTTTTTCTCGTGAGTTCATAAAAATAATTGCAAATCCTAGTTATTTTACAGCTAACAGAGAAAACCTGATCTACACTCGTGATACTTTAGAGCAAAGTACTTTAAATACATCCAACATAGGATTTTGGTGTCATTTTACTGGAGAAGTCAAAAGTTTTATCATTGTATGCCTTGCATGCCAAAGTTTTCATCAAAGATCTTGCCTAATATAAAAGTGCATCAAGTATTTGTCAAAGATGCTCTCAGTTACTACCACGCCAAATTCTACCTCAATACCTGTAAAACTGACTGAATTAAAGCCATTTATGTGTTCTGTAAGGTCCACTAGCTGTGGTGGCCATCTTCATTAGAGTTGACTTCAAAGGTTAATCAGTTGTAAAAGAACATCCAGTGATTAGATAATGAGAGTCTCGTCAACGTTCGTCCAGTAATTCGTGAGATATTATGCTAACAGACAGACAGGGTTGACCACAATTAAGGCAGAGTTTTAAACAGAGATTTTGAGCAATCTGTTTGTACTCACAGCATGAGTTGGGGGGTATCTCAGAGCTACTCCCAAACCAAACTTAAGCTCTATATCTGTGCAACCAGCTGAGTTAAGGTTGTTCGTGTGTTTGCTAAAATCCATTGGCTGTAGCAGCCACCGTGGATCAGGTTGACCTCAAAAGTAAATCAGCTGCAGACGTACATCCACTGATTAGCTTGGAAGAGTTTGATCTAAAATGGATCAGTGGTTCTTGGGATATTTTGCTAACAGACATGAACATAACAAATGCATTGTTTTCCATGGCCATGAATGGAAGGAAAAAATATCTGAATGGCACTGAAATGTCCCTCTAAATTTATTCATGTCAGCCAACAATAATAACGCTTTTCTACTGCCATGCTTGTGGTTCTTTGGACTTTATGTTAATCAGTTCTAGATGTGCATCCAATGAATACATTTGGAAAGTTTCATTATAATTTGTTCAGTGGTTCATGGGATATTTTGCTAACAGACATG